GGGGAAGCCGGTACCGAGGAGGATAACGGGAGAAGGAGTTGGGGGGGAACCGGTACCGGGCCCATAGGCAGGTGTGGGGGGACGTAGGGCCCAGGGCTGGGCAGGAGGGGGATCCCCGGTACTGGAGGGGTGTCCCCGGTACCGGTGTCCATCCCCGGTTCCGGCAGGTGATCGGTGGGGCCGGGCTGGACGTCGACTTCTCCCTGGAGAGTCCCTCGGGGCTGCTGCTGGTCAGCGAGTCCCGCCGCTCCGACGGGGCGCACACGTGAGTCCTGACCGTCTCCCGTCCCGTCTCCCGTCCCGTCTCCCGTCCCGTCTCCCGTCCCGTCCCGCTGACCCCACTCTCCTCTCCACCCCGGCAGCGTGGAGCCCACCGAGGCCGGCGACTACAAGCTCTGCTTCGACAACTCCTTCAGCACCATCTCGGAGAAGCTGGTGTTCTTCGAGCTCATCTTCGACAGCGCCCAGGAGGAGGAGGAGGAAGAGGAGGAGGACGAGGAAGGCGACGGCTGGGTGGAGGCGGCAGAGCCAGAGGACACGCTGGATGTCAAAATCGAGGACATCAAGGTGGGGATGAGGTTCGACGAGGCTGAGCGTGAGGTCCTGCGGCTGGGCCGGTATCTGTACCAGACGGGTATGAAGGCATCGGAGCCGCCCCGTGGAGGATGAAGAGCTGGACACAAGCCGGCGACGCGTGCTGGCAGCCCGAGAATCCAACCGCCTCCTGGGCAGCATCACCGGCAGCGTGGCCGGCAGGGCAAGGGAGGGGATTCTGCCCCTCGAGTCCAGCGAGACCCCCCCAACAGTCCTGCGTTTGGATTCAGCAGTGCTGGGTTGACGATTGGACTTGATCTTAAAAGTCTTTTCCAACCTAAATTATTCCGTGATTCTGCTCCCAGCTCTGGGCCGCTCAGCAGAGAAAGGAGAGAGACTTGCGGGAGCGGGTCTGGAGGAGCCCACGGAGCTGATCCGAGGGCTGGAAGAGTTGGGGGTGTTCAGCCCAGAGGGGAGACAGCTCCGTGGAGACCTTCTTGCACCTCGCGGCGCTGCCCATAAAGACGGGGACAGACTCTTTCGGCAGGCTGGCAGCGCTGGGACAAGGGGGAAGGGTTTTCGGCTAAAAGAGGGGCGATTCGGCCTGGCTCTAGGGAGGAAATTCTTCCCGCCGAGGGGGGTGAGGCCCTGGCAGAGGCTGCCCAGGGAGGGGGTCGATGCCCTGTCCGTCCCTGGGACCCTTCGGGGCAGGGCTGGCCGGGGCTCTGAGCACCCTGGTCTCGGTGAAGACGGCCCCGCTCGTGGCAGGGGGATTGGACGGGCTGAGCTCCAAGCGTCCCTTCCCACCCAAACCATCCCGGGATTCCCTGAGGAGGCAGCGGAGATCGGCACGTCCGACCGGTGCCTCCCTTTCCATCCGCAGGAATCCATTGAGACCATGAAGAGCCGCCTGGAACGGAGCATCCAGATGCAGACGCTGCTTCGAGCCTTCGAGGCCCGAGACCGTAACCTGCAGGAGAGCAACCTGGGCCGGGTGAACTTCTGGTCGGCCGTCAACCTGGGCGTGCTGGTGGTGGTGGCTTTCCTCCAGGTCTACATGCTGAAGAGCCTCTTCGAGGACAAGAGGACGGTGCGGACGTAGATGGGGCTGAGGGTGGGGGACACACACACACACGGGACTCGGCTCCCTGCCGGGACGGCGTCGGAGGAGGGACGTGCTCCCCTCCGGCTGCTGCTGCTCCCTCCCGGCGGGGATTAAACCTGCCCAGCTTTGTACCGCGGTGTCTTGGAGCTGATGCGAACCTCGGGGGGGGGAAGGTTTGGGGGCGAAACCCCCCTGCATTTTGTCACTGAAGGGCCTCGAATGGGCATCCCTGAGTCTTTGAGGAAGGAATCCGTTTATTCTGGGCCCTGTGGGGAGTTGCGGGGACGAGTCTCTGGGATCCTGAGGTGGTTTATAGGCTCAGCCATAGCCGGGGGCTGGACAAACTCCTCGGAATTGCCTCCACCGGGAGGGAAAAGGGCCCCAGAGGAGCTGGAGCTGGGAAGGACTTTGCTCGGGGAGAGGGTTCCCCACTCCCGCAGCGTTTATCGGGTAGGACGTGGACCCGGCCCTGCCCGCTGGCTCCAATACGGCATGGCCAGCACCGCGGAGATGGAAACCGCTGCCTGGAGGCTCACCGCTTGCCGGAGCTGCTCTCCCAATGCCGCTGCCCTGTGGCTCATCCGAGCATCCGCGAAGGACCTGCCGAATCCCTCCAGCTTCGGGGGAAACCAGGACTTTCCTCGGCCAACACAGAGCCAGGATTCCCCCGCCCAGAGTCTCCCTCCTTGCGGCTCTTGCAGATTCAGGGGTGCAGGCTTGGCCCTTCCTCCGCGGGAGGCGTTGGAACAGAACCAAGATGGCCATAAGGAGCAGATCCAGCCTTAAAAATGCCCAGAAAAGGGAATTCAAGCGGCAAATGTCGCTCCTGGTGCCTGTAAATGGGGGGGGACGACAGAGCTGGGCTGGGAGAGAGACGGGGCAAGAAATACTCCAAAATCAGGGCGAGCGTTGGAGGCGCTTTATGTGTCGCTGCCCCCGAAAAAAACACCCCAGGGACGTCCACGAGGGGAGGGCGAAGGGGGAAAATCCCCGCGGCAAGTGCAGAGTTCCCCGTAGCTTTGCCAATGCAGCATCACCAGGAGCTGGAGCCAGTCCCAGGCTGCAGGGGGGGGTCATTATTAATCTGCTAAATCACAACCTAGGCAAGGTGAGGGCAGCAGGAAGAGGCTGGCCCGGCTTGGGGGTGGCTTCTCGGCGCCTGGGAAGTGGGACTTTTCACACCGGAGCGAAACGCTGCAGTCCCAGGAGCCCTTTTCCAACCCTGAGGTTGCCGAAAGCTGCGGGGGGAGAGGCCTTGCATGCCCCCGACACCTCGTCCTTTGCCCCTGGCGTGGGGCTGCGTCCCGGCCCCCGGCCGAAGGCGTCCGCTCGGCTTTGCGGCGGTGGGACAGCGGGGTCGGAGCAGCGGGGGCAGCGGAGCTCAGAAGGGCCGAGGCGGCGCAGAGGGAGCCGGTCTCCTGGTGGCAGGGGAAAAAAAAAAAAAGAAAAAGAGCATTTAGAGGGATCGGAGCTCCCCTGTCCACAGGGTGGGGTGGGTGCCCCAGCCAGGACCCCCCAGCGTGGCTGCTCCGGCTGCAGAGGAGCCCCTGAGCGGGTCCCTGTCCCCCCCCCAAGAGCCTCTGGAGTCTCAGGGTGAGATGCCCCCACAAATCACAGCCCCCCTACCCCAGTTCTATCAGCCCCCAACAAGCCCCAGCCGGCTTCCCTCGGTGCCTTCGTTAGCAATCCACCCCATTGGGACTGACAGCACTCCACCGCCCCTTCCTCCCGCTGCAGCCCCCGGAGCATCCCGTCCCAGCTGGCGGCTGCGGGATGAGCAGCCGGTGCCCGCACGGCACTTGCCATGGGGTAGAACCGACCCTGAAACACCTGAGCTCGCCGCGCTGCCCGGCACCGGTGCAAGGTCTGGCCCTCGCTCTATGGAAAATCCCCCAAAATCCCTCTTAGTGCAATGTCCGGCTGCCCTGGAGCCAGCCCAACTCCCGGCACACTCCGGTACGTGCCAGAGCACCAAGTCCTACTGAAGCCGACAGCACAACCCTGCACTGGGGGAAGCTCCAGCTGCGCCTGGACCTCCTGGTCGCCCACCACGGCCAAGGTCGCGTGTCCAGGCCTCCTTCTGGCTGCCGAGGGATAAATCCCACCGGAACCCCTCATGTCCCTCCTGGGCTGGAGCAAGACGCGGTTGAGCACCGGTTCATCCTCCGGCACTGTTTCCAAGCACAAGGAGATGCTGGACCGTGACCGCACAGAAACGCAGCTCTGCCACAAGCCGGGCAGTGGGGAATCGGGGCTGTGGGGCCGCATCCAGCCCCAGCCCTGCACCGGCCCCCATTTGCTCCAACTGGGATTTTTCTGCTACAACAGTTTTCTGCAGCCCAAGTGCTCAAAGACACGTCCAAAAATGCGGGGACCACCGCGCTTTGGCAGCACTGGGGGGGGGCCTTACACGGAGGATGATGGTTTGATGCAAATAATAAAAGATTTGGGGTTTTAAACAGCCATCAGTGAAATCTTGGTTAGAGGAGCTGGCACAGAGACAGCCTGCAGGACAGCCCCCCCTTGATCCGAGACCCCCAATCTCCCCGTTTGATTCGAGAGCCCCACAAAGTCTCCTCAATCTGAGACCCCCAAAAGCCCCTCTTGATTTGAGATCCCCCCAGAAGCTCCCCTTGATTCGAGGCCCCCCCCACCAGCAACGGGACACTGGAGGAAAAGGCAGGAGGGAGAAGGAAAGGGCGAGACCAAAACCCCCATGAAGCGCCAGAGACTTTCACCAGAAGATTTGTATTTTTTTTTCCCCTTTATTTTTTTTTAATTTTTTTTTTAGTTTATTAATAGGATACAGACTGGAGGCACTTACACGTTGGCAAACTGGAGGGAGAGGCGAGGAGTGGGCTGGGTTTTTGGCCAGATGAGGTGAGCGAGGGGGAGGCCCCCGAAACCGCCGGCGGGAAGGGGCAAGTGCCGGATGGGACCCCCCTGGCTGGGGAGGCGGCGGCAGCACCGGCCACGGACTGGGGAGGGTGGTGGTGGGGGCGAGAGCTGCATAGAGCAGCCGTGCCGGCGATGCCACTGGCCCCCCGAAACCCTGGGGGTGCCCGGCTGAATGACAGCAGGCAGGGCGGCAGGGTGGGCTCATTAACGGATTAATTGGGGACGGGACACTTTGCTGCGAAAAAGGGGGATGCGATTAAGGCAGGCAGCACCGCAGCCCCATCTCCGCGCTCCCGGCAGCCTGGCTGGGCTGGGGCTGGAGTTGATGTTTTTAAAAACCTACATTTTTGTTGGAGTGGTTTTTTTTTTTTCCTTTTCCCTTTTTTTTTTTTTTTTTATACAATTAATACAGTCTGTAAAAATATTTACAACCTCTGCTCCCAGCCAGAGCCCAGTGGGGCAGCCAGCTCCTTGGGGAAGACCGAAGGCAGCGGCAAAGCGGGCAGGGATGCTGCGGGGGCCAAGGCACGGCTGGCTCAGGGCTGCCCCCTCGCTCCGGGCATCCTCCCAGACACAACCTCCCCCCGCCTCGGGATTTGCACAGGATTCTCGGGAGCAGCTGGATCCCCAGAAGAGCCTGTCCTGGGCGGGGGGCTCGAGGCAGCGGGGAGAAACGCTCCCTCCTCTTCCTCAGGGCTGGAAAAGCTGCTGCCGGCAAGGGGTTGTGGTGATGACAAACCGGGAGGGCACAGAGCTGCCCAGAACGCTCCGGCACGCTCCCCCCACCACAAGACCCACCTCCCTGCGTGCTATTCCAGTCTTTTTCCCCGGGTCAGCCCGGCTTCAGGCGTCACTGGCGGCCAAGGTTCGGTATGCGCCGCGGCGGGCGCTTTACGGTGAGCACCGAGTACGGAGCGGGGCGAGGGCGGGCATCGCGGAAGAAATACCTGAGGTTCACTGCTGAGCCGGCACCTCGCGACACAAGGACTACCTGGAGAGTCTGCTCCTGCTTTGCGGCGGATTAGATTTATTAGCAAATCGCTATCTGCAGTCCCATCATTTTCCATATATAAATTTTCCTCAAAGCTATAAAAACTGAAATATAGACTATGGTCAAGATTAGCAATCGACTTTCGGGTTTGGGAGAGAAAAACCAAAAATCGCTAAGTTTTATATATAATATATTAATACAAAAATTCTGGAGGGGGGGAGGAAGAGGAGGAAAAGGAGGAAGAAAGCGAATAGGCAGGAATCTGATCAGCCCCAACGGCAGCTCTAGGAGATTCTGGGCGCAGCCAAAGACAGGCGACAGTCTTGGAGTCATCCACCTCCGAGCTCTCCCATCCCCGTCACGTACATTCAGGCCATCCCACGGCACGAACGCCGAGCGCAGGTGTGTGGTGGAGGGAGAGGGAGGGGGGGATTTCTGACAAAGTGCAATATTTGACTCCCCCCAAAATATCTAATCCTCCGCGATTTATTATACAGGGGCGGGAGGGGGGGGCAGAGCGGGACTCGGGGGCTTCTCTGGCGCAGCACCGGCCCCTCGCCGCCGTAGTGCCAACTATCTGCTTCCCGGCTCAGGCGCAGCGGAGGTGAGGGAGGGCAAGGAGCGCTGCCCGTCCTAAACCGATGTCGCCGGCATTTACATGCCGGGACGCTCTGCGCCCGTCCCGAGGAGGGGCAGCGGCGCGCTGATGGGGATTGGCCGTGGTTAAACCACTCTGCTGAGCTGATCACAGGTAGGATGGTTTTTAAAAACGAGATTAGACGCAGGGGTTGGGGGTTGTTTTTTTTTCCCCTTCCCCCCCCCCCCCAAAACGGCAAAGGAAAGCGGCAGGCGTGGGGGCAGCCGCTCTGGGAGTCGCTACCAGCCCCTGGGCAGTTAATCGAGCAGGGAGGGTTCGGCCGGTCGGATAATGGTGGGCCGGTTCGGCGCGGCGGGGGGTCTTCTGCTGCAGAGAGAAGGGGAACAGAGGCGTGAGCGTGGGGACGGTGAGGCGAGGGGACCTCGTGGTGGCAGCTCAGCTCGAGGCCACGTCCCAGTGGGACCTCCATCCCCGCCTGCCGGCAGCATGCTTGCTCCCCAGCCTCCGGCGCGTGCTGCGGAGGTACCGGCAACTGGCACCGATCCTTCTGCAGGGACGAGGGGGACCAGAGTTCCCACCCCAGGAGAAGCGAGGGGCTGCGCTGGGGGGACAGAAGGGGAGCTCCAAGTCCTGCCACAGAAACCACGAGCTGCCGACTCCCCTCCTGACCAAGGGGTTTCGCACCTCGGAGGCACCGGGACGTTCAGAAAAGCTCAGCCCGAGTTGAGGATCCAGCCCTGGGGGCAGGAGACCACCCCACGCCCCCTCAGGAGGGCTGCAGACCGAG